TATGCATATTGGTATGTATGCTTGTCTTAGGAACTATCAGGAAAATTATAAGGTCCAAATGCTTTAGCAGTCTATATTTATTCTTCTGTCAATAATTCAATTTTATTGAATTCGTTTTACCTTCTTTTCACAACAGTAGTTAAGTTATTAACGCACTGTACCTTCTTAAAAAATCCTTTCTTATAACTCTCTAGGCAATACTGATTTACTTAAATTTCTTTTGACTTACTTAATAAGCACTACTTGTGTTTCACATATCCAACATTTTTATAATCACAGAATGCACGGGACAGAATATGGATAGGATGAGCTGCCACACTGACATCAGCAGTCCTAATCTTGAGGATATACTTGGTAAGTGAATACTTCCAATTTAATTTTAACATTTTGAGTGCATGCATTTGTTCTTTGCTAGAAAAGTCAGAAACAGTAAAATGTCAACCCTAGTACACAGTTGTACACAGTTGCTGAACGGAAATCGATATCTTACATAGCTGTTAACTTTCGATATTGACAGTGTCAGTGATTTTTTCGGGGGGAAAAGGGGGGGGGGAATTTCCCTGTGCATAGGGACTACAATAATGGCATAGTTTCACACATAGGAAATGAGACTCCAGACATAAACACAAGCAACATGTCATATTTTATCACAGACAACATCTAAGATCAAGTAGGTAAAAAGCTTTTGAAATCACAGTAGAATTGATTCTAATTATTCAGAAAAATAAATATGTACACATGATGAATGAAATAAATGATGATAAACTGCCAGACACATTCTTTAATTATTACCTTAATCAGCTACTCAACAACCTATATGATGAGTGGATTTAACCTCATGAAGTCAAAGCTAAAGTTCACTATTTATTTGTTTCACTGCAATCAATTTGTGCTTTGGGTGATTTTGGAAATCAAACTAAAAACAAGCTTCCACTTTATCTTCTTGAGACTAAATACACCACACATATATTTTGGTTACACAAAATGGGCATGGAAAATTTATACTTGTATTTTGGCATTAATGAACATATTGGTAACCATTTCTCTGATAACACTTTTGATTTAGAAGGGAAACACATGAACTGTGGGGTTTTCCCCGAGGAAAGTTTATTCTTAATGCACTTGAAATGCTTAAAAGTTATTAACTCAACATAGAGTTCCATAACTATATAAATAAGGGTGATAATTTAAGCATGCCAAAAATGTAAGGACTTTCAACATATATCTTAAGTATACTTTGTACTCTCCAAATTCTTTGTTTAATAACATAAATACAATTCACATCTACCTCTGCTTTATCTAATATTTCCTAAAAAAATATATTTACAAATTGAGAAAACATACAATTTACTATTATTTGGTCTCTGATGAAAGAATGTATTCATCCAAGGATTTCTTATCTCAGCTTTTAGTACAGTTAAGCACAGAAGCAGTAGTATGATTGATTGACTCGTCCTTAATTTGATTTAGAAAATTGTCATTGAAATTAATGATGAAGATATATGGATAGGAATACTGAAGCACTGAAGCAGCGCTACCCATGTTCTATACTTACATGCTATAGGTTTCCAAGTAACTTCTGACTTTAGGCTACTTGACAATATTAATTCAATTTGAAGTTTAGAAAAATTGGTACACTATAAAATATTACATGGGAAAACATGACAACCCACAAGGTTAACTTGGTGTTGCAGGTGGAGGGCTACTGTGTTGTACAACAAAGTAGAGAATAACTGTTAGATTCTTCTGGATATAGTCTTGCTCCCCAAGCAGTCTCCTATCTGTGAGTAGGCACAGTCCTACAGTCTTTTTTCCCCTCTAATTTTCTTGTTCATTTTCTTTAACTTCGTCAGGATTATCTTCATCAGCCATCTGCAGCCACATTTGTTTATTGTTTCGAACTCCGTCCACCAATGGCTCTAATTTGTCTGACAGAACAGCAAATGACTGGAAAAAGAAAAACTTACATTAGAAATTTTGTATTACACTTCAAACTTTAGTGCAAGATATGAAAAAGCACAAGTGTTTTTCTACCAAAGGGTAGGTGAGTGGCATCGCAGTGACCACACATGGACCCAAAATTTTATGGTTGATCTATGAGTAGCTTAACCATCTTTTGAGCAAGGCTCAGCCTACTAGGTGGAATGGTTTCAAAGATATAAGGCATAATATGTTTTCCGACTTTTTGCTCAAGTTTGACTTACACACTTCTCATTTATCATAAAATTTTGATCCGCGTGGGCCATTGTGATGCCAGCTCACCTGCCTGTTGGAAACAGAAGGACTCCTACATAACAGATTGGTATACTTAAAAATTTTACCTCATATATTGGTAGACAAATTGAGTCAATGAAACCAACTTGCATTAGTGGAAGTTGATCTTCTTTCTCTCTGTTCATTATGTCCTGAAAATGCACAAAGCAAATTTTAATCAAATAGTGAGAGGAAAAGGGCAATCGGAGCGCTCTTTCAAGTGGACTATATATTACTGAATACTACAGCAACTGTTTAAGCTCTACAAATTTAAGTCACTAATATAATTCATGAAATGTGAACAAAACCTCAAAGGTTTCATAGAATTTATTGGACCTCAAGAAAAGAACTTACAATGGGCGTAATGTGAAGTTCTTTTCTTTCAATATCGCCTTGTTCAAAAAATTCACTTGTTACTAGTTCAGCCACCTGTGAAGTGAAAGGGAAAATTGTTGATCTTTGCTAAGTAAACTTAACATAAACATAGAATTTCGTTTGATTTGATTAATGTACTCACCCTCTTCTCCACATCCCATGGTTTGGTGATGGCCGCTAAATCACATACTGTCATTGTCATGCCTCGTAATAATTCTCTGTGGTCTTCTCTCGACCAATTATAAGATGACGTTCGCACCAAATTGAAAAATGCACCCCTTTTTCTGAAATATTGTTGTATTTTGAAATGTCAAGCATAGGCAAATATTTTTGAATAAAGAATTTCAGTTAATAATGTTTTACCTGAAGTAAACAGCAAGGTCAGTGGATAAAATAGCATCTTCCAATACCTTGATTACTCGCGAATATTCATCAGGAGACAAGTTACCCAATATCTGGTTTCCCTGGAATTACAAGATAAAAATTAATCAAATAATTTTTCTCTCACAAGTCATGAGTAAATATTGGTTTGGTTGGACTAGAAAAATATGAAAATAATGAGTTTTTTAAGTGGTACCCTACCTGGCTGTTGAGAATCATAATACACTGGTCAAAATGGTGGTGTTCCATTGTTGAAGTGGAGTACAACTGTGCCAGAGGAGAAGAAGCCCTAAAATTGAAGAAAAAGGGGGAGAAAATGAAGAGGTATAAAACCAAATAACACATTTTATTTGAAGAATCAATGTGATAATATAATATAGATGGACTTACTTAATTTGAAATGAGTTATTTGTTCCTCTATGGTCTAGATCATGGCATAGACATGCTATGATAAGTGCCAAACATTCAATGTCTCCAAATATTTTCCACCATTGTGTTGCCTTAAACATAGAGAAACGTGGATAAAATAGCAGTTCATTGGGAAAAGTGGCACTATAATATATCATAGAGAAGAAACGAAACAGTACTTACAGTTATTATTGCAAACATCATTTGGGCAACATTGAATGCATGACGCCAATTATGATATGTAACATTACGATAATTCTTTCTCACACTAAGAAGCCAGCGGCAGAGCACTTCATAATCAATATGAAATCTATTGACAAAATCAAGATCTAGGAACATCCGTAAACACGCCTAGAAAAACAATAAAAATCACAACATTAAATAATTTAGAGTTTGTAGAAGCTTTGAAAACTTACGTTGTTCTAAAATTGATAAAAACTTACTTTGAGTGTTTCATCCTGAGTCATATTGATGTCATCAAACTTGAAGTCATGGAGCTGAAACTTCTGGGCTGATGGAACAACTTGGCGCTGAAAAAAAATAGAAAACATAATTTTAGGTTGGATACAGAAATGTACAGATAAATAACAATTTTAATAAATACATACCTGTAATCTTCTTGCATCATCCAGAGATGCAGATGCATGATAGCTCAGCACATCCAAGGTTACACTCTGTTTTGCCATAGCAATGATTGCTTTCTCATACCTAGTGTAAATGCAAATAATGTCAAATCCGATGTTTACAACCAATCATAATGTGAAATGTTATTACTTTTCAACTTTCAAAAGCTATACTTACATATGTGTGTTATGTATTCCCATTCCACAAAAAATAGCAAAAGCTTCCACAAAATTTTCATCATTTTTTGTGAATGGTAAGTCATTGAATTTATTTATCAGCTGAAAACAGGTAACAACCAAAATTATCTATGTGCCATCAGTGCAACAAGGGATAAATTCCTCAAATTCAATTATACACTTGATTTACAATTTAAAAATATGCATACCTGAATTACTCCAATTATTTGTCCAGATGAGTTTTTAATTGCCATACAGAGAATACTCTTGTGCTTAAATGCTATTCCATCATCAACAGAATGGTCAAATCGTTCATCTTCGTAAGCATTAGGAATGTTTACTGTCTGAAATACAATTGGTCACAAAACTTGAAATACTTGTACTGTAAGATTGCCTGCATTGTTGTAATTGGAGAGAACTTTCTATATGAATGCTTACCTCTCCTGTAGTGGCAACATAACCAGTTATACCAACATTAATCGGAAAACGACTCTCAAAAGGGCTGTTAACAGGAAAAATTTAAGTTAATACAGTGCCTTAAACATTGAAAAGGAGTAAAGAAACTACCATAACTCACCTTGTTCGAGGATCATTTTCCTCTCGGGTCAAATCACTGGATTCAAAATCAAAGACTCGAGAAAAGCTGCCTTTTGAGGCTTGATGTAGAAGAAGAACCTGAAATGAAATAAGACGGAAGCAGAATTTTGTCAGTTCCTACGGCTTGTGGATAGAAACTACAGTTAGTTAAATTATTGTGCAATAAAAATGTAATTTACCTGTACTCTCTGACACTGAATAAGAGATTGAGTATGGGTCAATATTCGATAAACCATGTGTTCTATTGTACTTTGTTCTTCGAATATCATCCGTGCTAAATCTAGCAATACCTACAAAACAAATATTAATAACTAAAAATTCTGCAGGGACATTTTTATCGTGAGAAATACTTTGAAACAATACATACTTGATTTCGTTTGACTTCAAGTTGACTTTTTTCATAAAGCTGGGCATTTCTCAATCCAATACCACAAAACTGTAAATAACTTGCAAAAACTTTTTCATCACTTGATGAAAAACAAGAGATTTTACCCTTCTCCATTTCCTTGTTTATCACCTAATATATTTCAAAACACAGAGTGGAAGTAAAATTCAAGATTAAAAGAAGGTCAGAAAAAAATAATAATTTTCTTTTTGTTGATGGAAGAGTATCTACCTGCGCAACACCAATCACATCTCCATTTGTATCTTTTATGGGCATACAGAGCAGAGTTTTTGTTGTATACCCCGTGCTAGCATCGATTTCACGGTTAAATCTTTCATCCTGTAAAATGAAAGACATTAACATAACAAAAATTATGAACAGAACATTCTTTTTTCCCCTGGCTAGTCTTTAGCGCAGCGCATCTAAGTGGGGCACCCACCTTGTAGGCATCGGGTATATTGACGGGCTCCCCGCTCTCAGCCACAAAGCCGACGATGCCTGTCCCCCAGGTGATGCGGATCTCCTCCTTCTTTTCCATCTCCGCGAGGGTCGAGCGCGAGCAGACGTCAAACAGTTTGGAGACCAGCATACGGCGCCTGGGCGTCGACGGGGAGTTGTCACCGCAGGCGGTAGGCACCGGGCCGTTGGCGCCACCCTGTGGGCCGCTGCCGCGGGCTGGCTGCACGAGGAAGAGGGAGCCGCGGTCGGCGCGGAGCAGCATGGACACATTCTGCAGGATCTTGTGGCACAGTGACCTCACATCCAGCTCGTTGCATATATCCTTGACCTGTAGCAGGAGACAAACGTCACACATTTGAGCACGTCGCAACGGAGAAAGGCAGTCAAAGAATATCAGATGGGGATCATCCATAAAGTACGTCCGTCATTCGCCGTTACGA